GTCGGACAGTAAAAAGTCAAAAATATTAGTTGACCAACAAAGCGACTATGTCGGTCACAAAGTTAAAATTAAAATGGTAAAAGAATATTTAAGTGGGTTTGCGACCACGGTAGTCAGAAATCTAAATTTATATTTCGGATTTATGCCAAAGCCCTATTTCCCCAATTTCTGCCGCGCCCTATTTTCCCAATTTCTGGGCGCCCAATTTCCCTCCTCTCTTTCCCTCTCATATCTTTTTTCTTCTTTGATTTCTCTTCCATTTCACCCGTGAGGCTGATTGTTCTTCGAGTTCATCTGTGCGACTGACAGAGGCAAACGACTGAAGGAGACAAAAGACTGACAGAGACAAACGGCTGAAATCTTACGGTAAGAAAAGATAGAATTAATTAGTTTTGTTTGCTGGTCACATTATTTTTAAATTATTTTAAATTGAAAGCTTCAATGCACTTTTGTCATGTATAGATTTCCATATATGAACTTTATTCATAGGACCAATTGACTTTTTGGGGTACTTTGTTAAAGAAATCTACCTGTGGTATACATTATTGATAGTAATGTCCACCATGTCTGTAGCATTTCTGGCTCCCTCTGCCAAAACTTTATCCGACTATATGCTGTGTCGAACATTAGTTCCTTGTATCGTACCAGCAAAGTAGAAACCTAAAAGAGAATTATGCATCACTGTCTTTGAAGGAATAAAATAGTGGACACACACTTCACTTGCATTCAAAGTGAAATTCAGCTTGGACTTTCAACTTTCTGGTGCAAAAAAAAAAAGAAAAAAAAACTCACACTCGAGTTCTCACGCGCTTTGAGCTTGAATTTAGACAATTATAAAGACACATATTCTTGCTAATGAAACAGAAAACTTACAATTTCACAGAAGTAAAACATGGCTTGTACATAAACTCCTATCTTCATATTGATAAGTAAATTCAACTGTAAAAGAGATTTGAGAGGAACATTTTACAAAAGTTGTGCTAGTTATATATGAAATGAACTAAATACATATTTAATACTCTGGGATTCTAGTAGACTAGAAGTCTTTCCGAGCCCTAAAAAGTACGAGCAAAAATGCATACTTGTTGACAACATTATAGGAGAAAACATACGGTAAATGCTCAACATAACCTGGAATCTGTGATGATTATGTGCAGAGCACATCAGATTTCCATACATTAAGAGTCTAGATCAAAAGTGATAAGTATAAACTGAAGCAGAAGAAGATTTAGGGCTATATTTGACTGCATTATATGACAATTTACTAAATCATGACTGCATTATATGGCAATTTACTAATTAATATGTATTGTTTTACATATCTTGGATTTATTTTGTGTAGATGGAGCTTGCACATCGTAGATGGATGTATAATCGAACTTATCCTAATCGTAGTGGGTTGAGGGAGGAATTTATAGAAGGGGTTGCCGAATTCATGGCTAAAACAAAAATACTTCATGAATTTCTCAGTGAAGGGGTGATTAGGTGTCCCATCGAAAGAGAATGGTAACTTTCTTATTATATTTATTTTGATTTTAACTAGATGCAATTGAACTTTATCTAACTTAATTTTTTTTGGCAGGAAAAGGAAAAAGGGAGAGTTGTGACATATGCTGAGGTCTTTGAGGACAAGCATTTGAAAAAGAAAAAGGATGGGACAAGAGAATGGGTCGAGCCGCGTGCTGCGAGGGTATATGTAAGATCCTTCTATTTCCTTTTTGTCTCTTCTTCTTTCTTCTTCTTCTTCTTTGATTTGTTGGGGTTGATTATTCTTTTAGTCATAAGACAAGGACCTTACACAATCTATGACTTTTATACTGTATTTTATATATGTTACAATTTACTTTAGGTTAATTAGCTCAATCAACATGTTGTTTCAACAGACATGGTTTGAATGAAACTTAAAGTTTCTTCCGCCTTTGCCAGTCAATCTTGTGGAAGAACACCAGTGACAACTCGGGTTACTGATTTCAACTAGTTACTCAAGATATAGTGGATCTCATATAGTTCAATTGGGGCATGCGTTTTGAAATGTTGTCCAAGTTAGGGAATGTTTACATTTTTCGAAACTATAGAACAAGGTTTGGCACCTTTGGTATGAACATCTTTATCTGTTGGCAGGACCTCATATGTGCCCCAAATGGCAGGACCTCATATGTGCCCCAATTTTTGTTCACCATTTCTTGAACATGAACCTTCTTTTTATTTCATAGAAATGCACTAACTGGCAATTTGCACAGAATAAGTGCATTTTTCATGAGGTTGGAGTTTTTTGTATATAGATCATTCAAATATAAGGGAATACAAAAATTGGTTATACATTAAGTCACCAAGGACTTATGCAGCTATAACAAATTTTGTTCTATCAAGTAATATGTCTAGATACACATCCCCGAAAATTCGTAGATGTTAACATGGTTTTGTTGTAAAACATGTGATTATTTATGTCTAGATACACATCCCCGAAAATTCGTAGATGTTAACATGGTTTTGTTGTAAGCATTTTCCTTGAGGAAATAAAATAATCTTCTATCACCCTAATTTCCAACTTCCAGGTGCTTCTTAGTACATATCCAGTCCACACCTTGATTAGTATATATCTAGTCTATATTGGCTTGTAATTGTGCATCTGTTGCCTCTGGTTTTGGCATGCAGAATTTCTTCATGTAGACTCACATATCCATGTACTTTTAGAATGGATGTTGGCTCTCAGAAGCAGCAGTAGTTTGAGAAAAAGATCATGTAGTGCTTCCCTAAGAAATGATTCTTGACATTAATAAGTGAGAAGTGGACTGGAGGAAGAAAGATCATGGCATTGCTTGGGGAAGAAAGAAATACTAAAGGAAAAAGAAGGAAGCATGAGCTAGAAAAAATGAAAAAAGTATTGTTTGTTGCTTAAGTATAAGTTTTTTCTTTCTTAAAATTTTACTTTCATCATACTTGCACCATTTCATTCCTTGTTTATGTGTGTGTTTGTATTTTTATAGATACATGCTTCATCGAAAAACTGTGAAACATACATTTTAATTTCTTCAAGTATCGCTTTGACTCCATTTTAATTTCAGGAAGCCTATCAGCAACGTTTTGAGGAATGGCGTCAAAGTCAACCCGATTCCGAGGATGGTAGCTCAACCCAAGTGTCACTCAATGATGTAGCTTCAATATGGACGCAGGTGGTTGGTGGCGCAAAGAAAGGTAGAACCTACGGTCTTGGATCACAATATTCTGTAGGCTGTTCTACGACATTGTTGCCTGGTGATGCGAGTTATTCGCAAGATCACGAAGAGGAGGAAGCATTACGAAAAGAGGTTGAAGAGTTGAAGGAGGAACAGAAAGAAGACCGCACAAATTTTAACAAATTGCAGAGTCTAGTGGAGAAATTTATGAGCGGACGTCCATTTGGTCCTTCGAATGGCGAGGATGGCTGGGATAATGAGTTTTAGTTTGTTATGGTTATTGATGTTTGAGACATTATTATTTGTTGTAGTTGGATGTTTAGACTTGGTAATATTTTCACTTGACTATGATTGTAGTATTTTAGACTAGATTGAATGGTGCCACAATGTTTAACTCTTTTTGGATATTTTAGTTACAAATATTTATGTTTTATATTTTATGGATTTGATTATTTGCAATGGTGGATTGATTGGTTAGCATGGTAGATTAATTGGTTGTTGTATATTTGAATTGGTAGGTGGTATTGCTTTAAAAGAGCTGGAATTTGGCATAAAATTCCCAGTTTTCTGACTTATTTCCGACCATAGTAGTCGCAAAATGCATCAAAATATTCCAGATTCAGGAACATCTGCGACTACTGTAGTCGGAAATACAAATAAATAAATAGTTTTAAATTAGATTTGCGACCACGATAGTCGGAAGGATAAATAAATAAATAATTTAAAATTAGATTTGCGACCACCGTAGTGGGAAAACTCAAACAAAATTAAATATTATTATAATTATATACACTGTTTGCGACCGAAGTAGTGGAAAAGTTAATATAAAATTAAAATTTAATTTAACCTGTTTGCGACCGCGTCAGTCAGAAACTTGAGCACATTTATAGTCGTTTTTCTATTTGGCCTTAGCGACCGTTGTAGTCGCAAATTACGGACGGATTCGGTCGCAAACTATTTCAGACCAACTATTTTGCGACTACGACTTTTCGGTTTGAATGTAGTCGGAAATTAGCATTTTCTGACCACTTTCTGACCGTTTTTGCAGTCGCCAAATAGCCATTTTCTAGTAGTGTTCCCAATTTTGGTTAGAATAATTCCATCATAAAATTTCGTGGTAAGTTGTGGCAATCGTACCCATACTGTTGTATAGCTTTGTTGTGCTTCTTTTCCAACAAAATTAGGCACCCACTTTTGTACTGAATGGAAAAAACCATTGATGAACTAAGGTCCATTTTGTAGTATCTTGGTCGTGTTTTCTTCCTTAGCCAACTTAACCGTATAGTAATCTTCTCCAAGATCAATTATTAGAAAGTTTTCATTTATCTTCCATAAAATCCTGAATTTTTTTTTAGATAGTGATGCACTAGACGCTTACCCATGAGTTTTATGATGACAAAATATTTCCAAGGTTTGTACGTACGTTTCCTGTCGTTCTCGGATAGGATTATTTGTTTCATTTTGTGGGACAACTCCTCTGGTTTAATGGCTTCCAATTCTGATGATTGAATGTCCGTTGGAATTGTAGAGGTCCCTTCCACTATTTGTGTGGTGTTAATGAAGAATTCATCTTGAAGCAGTTTATCCTTGTAAGATAGTGTATTAGGGGTTTGTAGGTTGATTATATTAGGGGATTTTGGTGGAATTGGATTTTGGTTTCCCGATTGTTGTTTTAGTGAGTGGTCACTCGTTCTCTCTCTAAATTGATAAAAAGTTGACACTCTTTGTGCTTAAAACATTAAACAAGAGGCTGTTCAACTAAATAAATTGAATCGCAGGGAAGTTGCAATTTTGTGAACTTAAAATCAATTGTACTCGTTGTTGTTTTCATGTTATCATTTTGATCTTTATTTATTGAATAGCTACTTATAAATAACTGCAGTTCTAAAAGTGAAGCTACATTTGTTGCTCGAGTTATTCAATAGGGGCAGAATAAATCTGCAATCTCTAGACAACAATTTAATCCCAGCTAACAAACACTTACCAAATCAAAGATTCAGCTGAATCAGGTCTGTTTCAGTGGCAGACACATCAATCTTATGTCATGTATAAGACGGTCCAAATTAATGTACGACGACCCGCCTTCATTGACAGTTCTTCTCGCCATACTTGACATCTGCTCTGTTCTTTGCAAGAATTCACCTCTTCTCTTCTCCATCAGATCTCTAATTGATTTTCCAATAATGTCTCTTTCACAGGTATCTTTTATGTCCAATCCCATCTTCCAAACCTCACCAATGAATAGTCACTATTCACTTGCTGATCAGCAAATCTTGGCCAGCAAATCATAGGTACTCCTTCAACTATACTCTCCAGTGTGGAATTCTAACCCAATCAGCCATATAGCCCCTTGCCTTAGTACCTTGCTCAAGTTCCACAGGAATCTCATGTTTTACCTCTTGTCCCATTATCAGGCCTGCCCTCATTACCCATAAGAAGTTTTGATCACTATTCACTAGACCGTACCAAAACTCTAACAGCTCCTCCCTTGTCACCCCCGCAATGCTTCCGAAACTGACATATAAAACAGATTTTGGTGGCTGCGTGTCGAGCCAATTGATGCAACTTTCATCTTCTTGCCACAAACTATTTGAAGAGGTACATTTTGTTGCAAGTCTAGCCTTTAGATGGGCATGAACTGGTCCAATTGTGTAAACATTTGGACAAACTGTGCGAATTTGAGTAAGTATGGGTCCTTCAAGGTCTTCAAATGTGTTGAGTATGAGTCCCCGAGCTCGAGGGGTTTGTCGCGTCTCAGTCGATAATAGCCTGAAATCCGCGCTAGTCAAGTCACTCACCCGGCAAAAACTTGGAAGATCTCGACCTCTCAGAAAATCTTCCATGCCTTTTACCTTCGTCAATGTGATGTCCATTCCGTTTACTGTAAATAATGTATAACCACTTTAGTTCACAGGCAAAAATTTAATACTATACTGACTTCGGGAGGGGAGCATGAGTTCACGTGCCCCATGGAACCCCTTAGATACGCCCCTGTCCGGATATTACTAACAAATATTGAACCTCTATAAACTGGAATTGACTGTTAAATAGACCATCAATTCATGTGAATGTCAACTACATCTAAAAATCTACAACAAGTGCGGATTAACAGTAGTAAATTTTACTTTCCTTTTTATTACATACGAGTGACAGGGAAGAAAAATAAGAAGGGAGGCTGTGAGAATTGAATTCACGGCCCTTTTTTTTGTAACTTCAACCACAAATATTACTTTTTTTTTTTTTGAAATCTCAACCAGATAATGTACAAAAACCCCACTAATTAGTTCCACTAAACTGTCCGTAGCAGTAATTAAAGTAACAATCATGTTTTTCCCTTTCCAATTTACATTTGAGGGGAAGTTCGCTAGCTTGAAGTAGCTCAGGGATTGAAAAGTAGGACCAGAAGGCACAGGCACTGATGGTGCGGAAATAGATAATAGGCAAGTTGATTTCCTCGGCTACATCAGCCGCCATGCTTAAGATTCCGTCGGCAATGACACATGTCACAGGTGGCTCCGCTAGAAACTCTCTTAAAAAAGGTTTCGCAATTGTATTTAACGAATCGTATAACTTTCCTACACCATCACGAGTATTCATCTCATCTAAAGAAATTCCATCGGGAAGTGCTTGTAAATGGAATTCGCTACCAAATCGGGACAGAACATCCGTGTGGTTAAGCAGGCGGTCATGGGTGTCAACTGTAACAAGAAAGGAGACGTGAAAATTGGAAAGTGAAAGAAGCTGGGCAAGTTTAAGCATGGAGTTGACATGGCCCTGTGCAGGGAAAGGGAAGATGGCGACATGGAGTACGAAAGCCGATGGATCCATTGACAACTTTAAGATATTTTGATTTCCACAGAGGCTAAGCTAGTGAAGTACTGGCAACTTTTGTTTTTATGGTCCACAAAGACTAGCCTAGTCATTTCAAGGATTTATATGGTCCTGATTGTTCATCGATCACACATAGGCCAAAATAGGACGGTGCATACTATGGTAACCGAGTTACTCTATGGAAATCGAAAATTTTGGTATAGGTATTCGTTATTTTTGGTATTTGATACGGTATTTGGTTTAAGTTTTTAAAATAATTTTGTAGGTATGATATTCAATATTTAAAAAATAATACCAAAATATCGGTATCATACCAAAATTTATACTAAATTACACGTTACATATATTATTGATTAACATAATAAGTTACACAATATTATTCTTTGGCATTTATGTTGCGGTTGGCAGTAAAGAAGCCCATGTACTTCTTTAGGAAAATGGAGGAATAAGGTAGGGTGCAAATTCTAATACTTACTCTCTAGGTTGCCAAGCAGTTTAACGTAATGTTTCAACGGTTTTAGGGTGTTTCTTACCATGTTACTCTTGTATTGTGTTGCATATGTTGGATTAGTCCTTGTTGTATTCTCTAATTTAAACAATTAACTCTAAGCAAGTAACATGATATTCTCAATGATCAAATCTATTCCTTTATGTACCTTTTTTTTCTCATAGTTGATACTTGATGGTTTTGGACAAAGATTTTGTCAACAGCCAGGTGAGCTTAAAACGTTCTCATTGAGTACTTTAATTAAGAATATTACAGTCTATGGCTCTATGCACTAGTTAATATCAAGCTGAATAAATCAAAATTACCGGACTGGATAAATCAAAACCGAAATGAGAAAAGCCGAACCATACCGAATGTAACTACGTATGGTATTGGCATAGCGTTTTAAGGAACAGAATACCAAAAATACCGAACCGAAATGACTAAGTATTGTACCGTACCTACCGACGAACACCCCTAGGCCGCAAGAACGTGCCAAGGAATCTAGTTTGTGCTTAAAGCATTTTATTTTTTATTCATAAATTTTCTTATTGACTAGTTTCTTGGTACGTGCATTGCATGTATATTCTAACATCAAAGATTGTTTGTCCATGTGTTTTACTTCCTTTGTCTCAATTTAGCTGTCGCTTTAACTCAAAAAATTATCCCAAACTGATTGTCACCTTAGGAATTCAAAATCAAATTTATCATTGTTTCCAACCATACCGTTAGTATTAAAGTAGTATTCCCTCCGTTTCAGAAAGGATAATACTTTTCGAATATCGAGAGTCAAACTTATTAACTGTGACCATGAATTCATGCATATAATCTTTACGTTATCCTAGATATTAAAAAAATTATATATATAACTATATAAAAAGTACAATAAGTCATACTCCATCTGTTCCAGTTTATGTGAACCTATTTCCTTTTTGGCCCGTTCCAAAAAGAATGTCCCCTTTCTAAATTTGGTAACAATTTATCTGAAACTTACAATTCTACCCTTAATGAGAAGTTTTTATAACCACACAAATACTCTGGGCCCCTTTTTGACTTGTTTAGGACCACAAATTTCAAAAGTCTTCATTTTTTATTAAATTTCGTGCCCAGTCAAATAAGTTCACATAAATTGGAATGGAGGGAGCAATAATTTACAATTCAAAAAATATAAAAAAAAATATATATGAAAAAAATCAAAAACTCATTTGATTTTCGAAATCCGAAAAGTATCATCCTTTTTGGGACAGAGGGAATAGTTCTTTCTAGTTCTACTCAATTCTCTAAAAGCATTTAATAGAGAAAACTTAGTAAGCTATATATTTTATTTTTTATTTTTCTAAATGGACATTAAAAGAGCTAAAGTGTCACAGCCCCAATCACCCATTGTAGAATATCATGATGGTGCCTAGTCTTTCAGACTACGTAAGACTAACATTCATGAAGAAATAACGAAAATAGTAATAGAACTTTAAATTTAAAACCAACCAGCTATCATAAAAGGACTCCACAATACAGCTAACAATAACTTCCAAAATCTGGTGAGACTAAGTCATAAGCTCTACACGAGTATACTGAACATCCTGAATACATCACTATCTAAATAAAGATTATGCAATAGAAAACAAGGACAGATGGTGACTCTGAGGCCTGCGTATACCGATAGGTATACCTTGAAGTCTCCGATCTGGAAGCTCTACTCACTGGTTCCTAGCCTGGTATGAGGTACTAGGATCTGCACAAAAGATGTGTAGAAGCGTAGCATGAGTACACCACAAATGCACCCAGTAAGTATCAAGCCTAACCTCGATAGAGTAGTGACGAGTTCAGGTCAAGATACCTACTAGAATAAGAATAAGAAATTGAGCAAGTATAATAAAGTCTAAGAATGTAAAAAGGGAAAATGAGGCAATAAGGAAATACAACAAGATAGACTACAACTGAATTAAAGCAATAAATGCAAAAAAGGAAGGAACACATAATAAGAACATCAAAGAAACAATGCATACAAATACAAGTGATGTAAATGAGAGATAACAACAAGAATCACAACCGACGTACCACCTCGTAATCTCTTTTCACAATCACAATCTTTTCTTATATCACATCGGGAGCTTTATATTTAGTTTTGAAAAATTATTTTTTTCAAAATAGCTACACGCGTTTTAGCTCAGCTTATCATACTGCGTAGCTTCAAGTAGTTTCCTTACTAGCAATATGTGTATCAAGCCCTCCTTATCTCACTGCATGCGTATCAACCCCTAACCTTATACCACTGCATATGTATCAATATCACAACTCGCACCTAAAGTGACCAAATGCCAAAATTTTCCAGAAGAATAAACATTATCAATTTTTGGACAACAAATAGCTCATGGCTCAACAATAATATGCAATAGCAACTGAAAGTGAATAGCTCAACAAGAATGGTATTTCAACAATTTACAACTTTGGCTCAATGTGATCATGACTTTAGTAACTTCAACACAAAAACTCAACAATACAATATTCCAAGAAATAGCAACTTCGAGTAAGGTAACTTGACAATTAATTATTTAACAAGGCAATAAGGAAACAATAACTTCAACTAAGCATGTAAGTGTAACGACCCGATTAGTCGTTTTTAAAGTATTAGCCCCGATCCTTTATTTATTGCTTTCTTTGTATCATTTTATGCTTATGTGCTTTCCGAGAGGTTTTGTTTTTGGTTTCGGGGAGAATTGGGACACATAGTCCTTAAAATGGAAGCTTAAGTTCTAGGAATTTGACCGTAGTTGAAACCGTGTAAAGACGGCTTCGAAATAGAGTTTTGTTAGTTTTGTCAGCTCCGTTAGGTATTTTGGACTTAGAAGCGGGTCCGAATTGTGATTTGGAGGTCTGTAGTTGAATTAGGCTTTAAATAGCGAAAATTGAATTTTTGGGAAGATTGACCGGGAGTGGACTTTTTTATATCGGGCTCGGATTCCGATTCCGAAAGTTGTAATAGGTTTGTAATATCGAATATGACTTGTGTGCAAAATTTTAGGTCAATCGGATCTGATTTGATAGGTTTCAGCATTAGTTGTAGAAGTTTGAAGTTTCAAAGTACATTAAGTTTGAATTGGAGTGCAATTCATGTTTTTGTTGTTGTTTGATGTGATTTGAGGACTTTATTAAGTTCGTATGATATTTTAGGACTTGTTGGTATGTTTGGTTGTGTCACGCCCCAAACCTGGGGAGGCGTGACTGGCACCCGGTGTCGTACTAGCCCGAGCGAACCATTCTGTAATTCATTTTTTTCTTCTACAACTATCATGGGCCAACATGACCATAACTCGTAATGTATAACTATAAGTGGGTCACAACTGTGTATTAATGAAATATTGTTCTTAAAACATGAATACATATGGGCCGTCAAGGCCTCTAACATATTATACAAAATGAACCTCTGTCTACAAAGCCTTTAAGATCATTTGACATCACATGGGATAGGGTACCAACCTACCCATAAGTCTATAGCAAAACTCTGACATGATGACTCATAGACTCAGTTGCACTCCGAGTGAGGTGGAGTCTTACCGATCCTTCGTTGAATGTCATTCTCGTCTACTATGAGGGCTCGTCAAACTGATTATCTATACCTGCAGACATGAATGCAGTGTTCCCAACAAAAGGACGTCAGTACGAATAATGTAGTGAGTATGTAAGGCACATAAATAAGTACATATAAGATATGGAAGAAATATAGAGTAAATGACTCAACATGGGAAGTCTGGATAACTCTGTAAATCATGAAATACTTATAGTGTCATGCATATGCGTACGAATGTCATGTCGTGTATAGGTACATGTGTTCATAACATCATCAAGCTTTTGACGGCATCCCATCATATCATCTCGGTCACTGTGGGCAAAATCCTTAACGTATACTAGCTGATCAGGTGATGGTGCGTGTATAATGCCATAATCTTTCCNATATATATATATATGTATATATATATATATACGTATATAACGTCATCTGGTCAAGGTTCAATGTGCATGTATAAATGCATGAAATGCATATGAAATACGTTAATAAAATCTCTCGATAGGTCATAATACCATTATGCCTCTGATTAATATCATGAAATAAACTTTACCAACTTACGTATATTTGAGACCCATGAACAGATGATAGAATAATATGACACATGGGAGAATAAGAATATACGCATCTCTACAATTTCTACGAATAGAGTAATTTATGGAAGTTGTGCATTTGCTCGTTTCGCTTGTGTCATATAGATCATGCCAAAAAGAAAGAAGGGATAGTCTTAATATACCTGAGCCGATTCTCTATCGGAAACAACCTCTCTACCTTGTGGGAGTATATTATCCTCCCCATATCCCACTTTGTGGAGGTATACTGGGTATGTTGTCATTGTTGTTGTTGTTGTTGTTGTGGCAGTAGGTGCACATCAATTAACTGTGGTGCTACCTCATAGCCAGAGGGATTAAGAAGTCACATCTCATAATCTATGGGATTAGGGAGAATAATATGTGTGATGCTAGA